GTACAAAACCCAGAAGGGTTTGGAAAGGAGGCGGAATGGGAACAAGAAACACAGGGAGGAAATGGTAATCACTGAGCTGAAGTGCAGTGTTTGGTTGGTTGAAAGTAAAACCGATGATCTGTGCTGTAACCCTTCACTCAATTCACAATAAAAATTTTTGTTTTTTTTTTAATTACATATAATCTCACTGCAAGATAACCACATTAAAATTTTGGCTTATTTGGGGCCCGTCTCCCCCCTCACCCCCGCATATGTATTGATCCTCCTAGATTAAAAAGTATTTTAACATAATTTTTATTTTATGATTTTAATTGTAGTACAGTGAACTACTTAACATGACTCTTCTAGCTATTCATGGTCTTGTGACTTCCATAAAATGATTGGGTGGGGCTATGCAAGGTCGGTGGTTCAAGATCACCAGCTGCTCCTCAAAAACCCTATATAAGGTTGCTATGTGTTGGAACCAACTTGACAGCACTTAACAACATGAAAACAAGGAGCTCTGGTAGTGTAGTGGTTACGAATCGGGCTGCGAACCACAAGGTCGGCAGTTCGAAACTACCAGCTGCTCCATGGGAGAAAGATGAGGCTTTCTGCTCCCATAAAGATTTACAGCCTCGGAAACCCTGTTTAGGGTCACTATGGGTCAGAGCCGACTCAACAGCACTTAACAACAACAAGGTACACTAAAGGAACAATTGCTGCTGTTAAGTATAGTCAAGTGCAGTTGAGTTGGTTCTCACTCATATTGACCTTGCACATGGTTTCCAGTTCTGGTGTGGCACTGTGGGTTAATGCGCTGGACTGTAAAGTCAGTTTGAATTGCAAGGTTGGCAGTTCAAGATTACCAGCAGCTCCTTGGAAACCCTTTACAGGATCATTATGGGTCGGAACCAACTCAATGGCACTTAGCAACCACAACATAGGGTTTCCAAGGAGCAGTTGCTGGGTTTGAGCCACCGATCCTGCAGTTAACAGTCCAGTGCTTATCCTATAACACCAAACCAGGAACAATTGTATAGCCTGTTAATAATGAAAATATGGTGTATAGAATCCTTGATGTGCTGTTGTTATTGTTAATGCTGTTGAGTTGGTTGCGACTCATAGCAGCTTTGTATAGGGTTTCTGAGACTTTTAAATCTTCACAGGAGCAGAAAGCCTCATCTATCTCCCACAGAGCAGCTGGCAGTCTTGAACTACAAGACCTTGTGGTTTACAGTCCAGTGCTTATCATATGGAGCTACAATGCTCCCTTGTGGTGGTTGTTAGTGCTGTCAAATTGGTTCCAACTCATAGGGACCCTGTATAGAGTTTCCAAGGAGCAGTTGGTGGGTTTGAACTTCTCACCTTGTGGTTTGAAGTCCAGTGCTGATTCTACAGCACCACACCAGGAGTCCTTGTGGTTGTTGTTGTTGTTGTTAAGTACTGTGGAGTCGGTTCCGACTCATAGTGACCCTGCACAGGGTTTCCAAGGCTGTAAATTTTTACAGGAGCAGAACGCCTCATCTTTCTCCCATGGAACCACTGGTAGTTTCAAACTGCTGACCTTAAGGTTGGCAGCCCAACTCGTAACCACTACGTTACCAGAGCATGCAAATTAAGACATATGGAGCCCTAACAAGGGGACTGGTCATTGGTCATGTCTTTGGTGTAGGCTTATAAGGAACCAATCCCAAAAGCACACAACAGGACCTCCCTACCAACAAAAAGAGGAGCCAGGAATGGAATGGGATGTGTCCTTTGGCCCCAAGTCCCAGTGCTGAAAAACCTCCTAGACTCAGGAGAGAGAGCTGTAACACTAAAGCAGCAAGAGATGGCACAACCGCAGCTAGAAACACTGAGAAGCAGCAGTGTTTTAGGTATCTAGTGCTGATGTATCAGAAATACCACACACAGATAGTTTTAACAACAAAATTTATTTTCTCAGCATTTATGAGGCCATACCACCAAATTCAGACCACCAGCACTGGGGGAAGGTTCTTGTCTCCCTTCAGCATCTGTGGGTCTGGCATTCCTTGGGATTTCCATTTATTTTGGAATCAATCTTCCTCTGGGTCTAGGAGGTTCTCATCATAGGGACCCTGTGTTCAAATGACATGTTCGTTCGCCTACCAGCTCTTTTCTTGGTGGTATTAGGTCACTCCTTGATGTGCTCTCTCTCTCTTTTTATCTTTTGTAAGTAAAAGGTGTTACATGTCACCTCTGGGAAACTTACATCAGATCAGGGTGTGACCTTTTTTGCATCCCAGAAAGGTTGATGGCATCATAGGAGATTAGTACATCATTATATAACTGTCAAACCACTGAGAATCATGTCCCAGCCAAGTTACACATGTTTTGTTTTTGTTTTTTTTTTGACACATGTTTTTTTGGGGACATAATTCAGTCTATGACAGGTGGCAAGCGTGGCAGAGTCCAGAAGCAGAAAAATGGAGGCAGCAGCACTTGGTTCACAGGGCAAGGCAGCTACTGTGGGCATGCCAATCCACGGCCGAGAAAGCCAAGTGCCTTCAGGCAGGCAGCTTGCTGGCTTCTGGGCATTATCAGTGGAGCTTAAGAAAGAACTATCACAACTGCCTAAGTAGAACAAAGGCCAGGCCAAGGAGCAGGAGCAAGGTCTTCCTGTGGGAGTGCTCGAGAAGCTGTCCTGGCCAAAAAACTGTATCCTGGGTCATTCCTGATATTGAATTGCAATCTGTTACTTCTACAATGAACCCCATGAGTAAGCTCTGTGAGGTCGGGATGGGCACTGCAACAAATTGATCAAACCCAGCAAAGAAGCAGAGAGTGTTGTGGGAAGGTGGCTGGTGGCTGAATTGTAAAATAGTTGGAGGCTGGAGGTGTGTTTGATAGCTGCCTCGTAGGTATCAGTCTTGGGCTGATGCTTATCTTGAGTCTCATCCTTGTGAAATCAGAGGTCTGACAATGTCCACTCACCTTATTTTGCATGAGAGACTATAATTTATTTAACTAATGTCCTATTATTAAACACTGAGGTTACTCCTAAATAAAGTTATGCTGAGTGATTTTATATATATTTGGTCAAATCTTTTATGATTTCTTTAGGATACTTCTCCTAAATAGATTCTCTGGGTCAAAAATTATAGAATATGAACAGTTTTAAGATCTCAAATATAAACAATACTAGAACTGCTCTACTAAAATATGCCAATTTTCATAAAGACAATGTTCCAATGTGCCAGCTGCCACAAAGACACTGCTCTACATTCTACTTTGGTGAGTAGTGACTGGGATCGTAAAAGCTCATGAGTGACCATCTAAGGTGCAACTACTGGTCTTTCTGTGTACCGAAGAAAGAAGAGTGATGGAAACTGAACATGCTTGGAATTAACTAGTCCAGTGGACTAAAGGAATACAAGAACATCAGTCTCCATGACTCTGAAACCAAAAGAACTAGATGGTCCCAGCTACCACTACCAACTGCTCTGAAAGGGATCACATTAGGTTACTGATAAAATGTTGAACAAAACTTAAAATTATGCACATTAGAAGGTTACTGATAAAATGTTGAACAAAACTTAAAATTATGACAAAAGACTGGGCTTACTGGTCAGAAAGAGACTGGAGGAACATGAGACAATGGCCCTCAGCCACATTTCAAGTCTGGAAAAGAACTCACCCTCATGCTACAATTTTTAACCAAGCAGTACACATAGGTATATGCTGCCGTTGTTGTTGTGAAGTGCCATGGAGTCGGTTCTAACTCATAGCAACCATGTATAGGGTTTCTGAGGAGCAGCTGGTGAACTTGAACTGCCCACTTTGCAGTTCAAAGTGACCTTGCAGTCCAGCACATTAACCTGCAGCACCACACCAGGACGCCACACAGGTATATAGAGGAGACAACAAAAACAGTAAGGTATGCTCACTGTGGAATGATCAAAAGGAAACCATGTACTTAAGGACAACGCTGAGAAGGGATGGGAAGGAGGGTGGAACAGAAATACGAACCACAGGAAGGAAAAGGGATAATTGTTGCTGCAATCTCTGAGATGAAACAAAGTGTGTGATTTGTTGACTGTAAAACTGACGATCTTCTCTGAAAATCTTCACTAAATTCACAATTTTTTAAAAATTGCCAACTTTAACTTTCACCAACAGCAACAGCACTAAAAGTCCCCATGTCCCCTCACCTGCATTGAAAATTATAATTTAAAAAGTTCTCTGCTAAGTCAATAGGCCACAAAATATTTCTCAATATAACTTAGATATTCATATCTATTCATCTTTTTACTGCTCATTTGCATTTATGTGAGTGTGAAACATACATTCATGCCTTTTGCCTATTTTTCTAATGGCTAATTAGTATTTTTCTTTATTTATACCTAGAGTCCTGGTGTGGCATTGTGGGATAAAGCACTGGAGGCAAGGTCGGTTTGAACCACAAGGTCGGTAGTTCAAACTCAACAGCCACTTCTTAGATACTCTATACAGTGTTGCTACGAGTCGGAACCGACTCAACAGCACTTAACAACAACTGTCCATTGAGTTGATTCTGACTGATAATGACCCTACAGCACACAGTAGAAGTCCTCCTTAGGTTTTCTGAGACTGTTACTCCACACAGGAGCAGACAGTCAGTCTCCTCTTCTTCCTGGGGAGCAGTTGAGCTTTCGGTCTACAGCCTAACACTAACGATGTGCTACCAGAGCTCCTTTAATTGTTTATAAGAGTTCTTACTACAATAAGACTATTAACTATCTCAATCTGATATCACAAAGTATGTATAAACTAAGATTGTTAATCCAAATGAACTCTACCATTAAAATATATATAACTTTCAGAATGGATTCATGTAAAAAAAAAAAATAGCAACGTGCATACTGGTTAGGCTACTGTGGTAATGTTTAATAAACTCCTCCTCTTTTTCATCTTCAAATGGTTGTTTTGGTAAGAGAAGGCTGGTAACTTTCTTTTTAAAAAATGCATTCCATTAATATAAAATATTATTCTGGATATATATATATATTTGTGTGTTTTTTTTGACAATTTTACCACAGTAGTAATTTTGCTGTGGAAAATAAATTCCATCTTGCTGGATAGAGAAGACTCCTGGGAACCACCCACTGGCATCTTTATTCACATATGAGACCGGGTCAGCCAGTGAAAATCCTAAAAGACAAGATAAGGCAACATACATTCAGCTGAAAGTTCAGTGAACTAAGCAGGAAATAACCATCTCAAATTATGCTCTCACTGTTCCCTGCTTGCTCTAAAATCTCAAAATCCCATCGTAGCCACAAAAGTGGTAAAACTGTGGTCTTTTGGCTAGTACTTTTACCCAAAAACAAAAGGAGAAATAAAAAAACAATTGCTGTTGAGTGGCTTCTGATTCACAGTCACCCCAGATGTTACTGTGTACAGACTCCATACCATTTTCCAGGCTGTGAACTTTCAGAAGACTCTCTTCCAAGGCACCTGTGGATGGATGCTAACCCTCAGCCTTTTGGTTAGTAGCTAAGAGTTTAATCTTTGTGGCAACCTGCTACAAATTCATAGTGTACCTTACATCCTACACAATAACCTGAAAAGACTTTCAGGGAACTCACTCATTAGAAACTACAATTGGAAGAACCCGAAATACTCCACAAAGAGCGATGAAGACCCAAAGAGAGTCAAGCAGCCAGGTCAGCAAAGAGCCTGGATAGGAAGAGTTTCGCATAGATGCCTTTCTCTGGACTAATACTATCCTATGCATAGGCTACTAGAGAGACTCAGCCACTGCCCAGACTATAGCAGTGGTAGCAGCCAGCCGGCACTGTGAATCAACATGAATGGCAAACAGACAGACAGACAGACAGACAGACAGACAGACAGACAGACAGACAGTAATGGAAAATCAGTAGCCTGGAGAATTCTCAATTGATATTCAACTGAAGTGAACAGAAATAATGTTGAAATGGCAAACGCAAGGAAAAAAGGCTAATCTCATAAAAATGGATAAGAAATTATATTTCTCCAGTTGAGTCTCGACGGCACTTAACAACTAATACCCCAGCAAAGTTCATACAGAACTTGGGGTATAGAACATTAAAAGGTGAACTCCCTGGCAGAGGGGGGAATGAGAGCTCTTCTGGACCTAACATTGGTCTCAAGTGTTTGTTCAACACTTCTATCTGTTCAGAGTATGTGTTCATCAAGCTTTGAAGAGTGGCTCTGATTTCCCCAGAGGTCCGATGCCCAGATGCCATGAAGGAGGAATCCTGGGTTTCAGAACAAACATTCTAGTCACTGGAAAATTATAAATTAATAAAACAGCAGCAAATTTTAAAGCCTACCTATTGACTATCTGTTTGGCAGATACCAATTCAACAAAAAGAGTTTAAGAAAAAGGCAAACAAGCCCACAGAGGTAGACTAGATCCTGTAAGTTGTGAACTCTGCCTGCCTGCTTCCTCCGTATGAAGACCTCTGACGTTACATGACTGGCCTAGACTTTCTGTGTTCACATTCCAATCTACCACGCCTTTTGTCTATCTCTTCTCTCTGCTGTGAGGTAAATGCCAAAGCCTCTGATTGAATTTCATGGAATTATTATAGTCTATAAAATAAAAAAATGTATAGCTCACTGATTGTCCATCTGCCTGCCTGCCCATTTGTCCCCATCTGTCCACAGCAAATACATGTACAAAAAAAACAATACAGAAAGTACTTGAAAAAAAATTTTTCTAGAAAGAGTGGCTGGTAACTCAAGGTATAAGGATAGAGACAGACACATAAGAGAGGGCTGTAGCAGGGTCAGGAGCTGAGGAAAATCACTTTAAACCTGTATGGGAGTGGATCATGCAACACACTGTTGTTTATTTTACTGCCATAATCTTCACTGAGGTTTTGCTGTTGTTGTTGTTGTTAAGTGCCATCGAGTCGGTTCCAACCCATAGCAACCCTGTACAGGGTTTCCGAGGGTGTAAATCTTTACGGGAGTAGAAAGCCTCATCTTTCTCCCGCGGAGCGGCTGGTAGTTTCGAACCGCTGACCTTAAGGTTCGCAGCCCGATTCGTAACCACTACGCTATAGAGGTAAATAATTCTGAAGACAACCACAAGTAAATTGTCTTGTTACAAATAAGCCTACAACTCATTGGCTAACTCAATACATACTGGTTGAGGACACAAAGTACTGGGCTATGGACTATGTAAAGAGGTTTATAACCTGGCAAGGGAGCTAAGACGTGTACTAACTAATGAGTAGGTGTGAGGTAGATGGGAAGCACCCAAGAGAGGTCAGTGCTGTTGGGGAAGACCAGATGTCATACAGAGGACGGACAGCGGAGACTGGGGATGATTCAGAGGAGAAAACAGGCCTTGCCAAAGGTTGTATTAAAGGACAGGTAGCAGTTTCGTGAGCAAAGATTGGAAGAGGAGGGCAGTGTAGAGTGTGGAATGAATCTGAAGGAAGGCTAGGATATCAAGAAATAGCAGCAGCAGCAGAATTAGGACAGCCCTGGTAGCACAGTAGGTTAAGTATTAGACTGCTAACTGTAAGGTCTGCAGTTCAAACCCAGCAGCTGCTCCATGGGAGACAGATGAGGTTGTCTGCTCCCATAAGGATTTATGGTTTGGAAACACTATGGAGCTATTGCACTTTGTTCTATAGGGTCTCATGAGTCGAAATCAACTCAATGGCAGCAGGTTTGAATTTGGGTTGGTTTTAAAGAACAATTCTGGGCTTAACAAGGAGGAAGACAAGATTTAAACAACTTTTTTAAAAAACCTTTTGTGGCCTCTTAGAAAGGGTTTGAGTCAGTCATGACACTGCCGCATGGGAAGCATTGCGGAGCTGGCTGACAGCGGTCAACAGAGTATATGCGGACACGTACTGCTTCTCTGGCTGTGCCTTCTTAGGCCTGTGGCAGGCTCACCCTCCTGCTCTCCACTGGAATACCAGGGACTCTGAGCTCAGGCCTAGGCCCCTTCCTTCCTACTCTGCACTCTCACCATAAACGGTACACAGTCACATTTGTCATCCAGATTGAGGGGGTGCTCACATTTACACTACCTGCTCAGATCTTTCCTCTAAGCTGCAGATCCACATAGTCAATTAGCTCTCCACCTGAATACCTGAAAGGACACTCCAACCCAATATTGCCAAAATTAAATTCTTGAGCTTCTCTCCCAAACTCAGTTCTCTTCCAGAGAACGGTGTCACCTTACAGCTACGTGCATGAGTCAGGCTTCTGTGAGCTACATCTTAATGTCTCTCTCCCTTCCCATTTCCCATCTGTGCAGTGAAGAGACTGCTGCCCTGCGAAACGCCTACTTACGAGATTGGCCCTTGGCTGGCATCTAGGAATCTGTACTGGGAAGGTTACCATCATTCCCAGAACTGGTAGCACTGGCTTTGCTGGGCCTACACTGTTTGTACAGACAATATGACTTACGGTGAACACCTGCTTTTAAACTCGGGACAGAGTCTCTAACAAGCTTCCTTGGTTGCTGGCATATGCCATGTGTTTTGTCACAACTCATTGCTGGGGGAATTAGGCATGTCTTGGGTGACTTCATGGGAAGAAGACTCTGGAATCTTGTGCTTGGTTTTCCCCAGACATTGCCCTATACACCTTTTCCCTTTGATATTGCTTTTTGTATTTTCCCTGTAATAAAACCTAGTCATGAATATGACTATATATCCTGTGAATTCTTCTGGTGAATCATCAAATCTGGTGTGGTCTTAGGGAACACCAAAACACTGTTAATGCTGTTAAATACCCTCAAGTCAGTTGTGACTCATAGTGACCCTTTAAGGGGTTTCCAAGGAGCGGGTAGTGGGTCTGAACCACCAACCTTGTGGTTACAAGTTCAGCACTGATTCTACAGTGCCACACCACTCATAACAACCCTGTATACGATTTCCAAAGAGCGGCTGGTGGGTTTGAACTACCAGCCTTTCAGTTCAAACCTACCTTGTAGCGATTATCCTATAGTGTCACACCAGGACCTCTAGCCCCAGCATACTGTTACTGTTGTTGTTAAGTGCTGTGGAGTTAGTTCAGACTCATAGCTGCCCTATATAGAGTTTCCAAGGAGCGGGTGGTGGGCTTGAACTGCTCACCTTGTAGTTCACAGTCCAGTGCTGATGCTACAGCTCCACACCCCAACACACTAGCCACCATTTAATTCTGATCCTCACTTCCTAATATTTCAATTGATCCACTTCTGATCCACCACTGTCAGCTGATTTCCTGGATCTCTTATCTGAACCTGGGCAATAGCCTAGGAATTAATATTTAAGCAGCATCTCAGATGCCTTTCCAGTCTGTTCACATTGAGCCAGAGGGAGCTTTTCAAAAGGTAAGTCTACTATCATCTCCCTGAGCCCGCACTGCCCCCTGGCTGCCCACCCCTCTGAGGTGCTCCCTCAGCCCACCTCTCACCTCCCATACTGGCCTTCCTCTCAGGTCCTCACATGTGTGAGGCTCCCTCCTGGCACAGAGCCTGTGCACACCTGGTCCTTGCGGAATTCATCCCTACTCGTCCTTCAGATCTCAGTGTAAGCATCACTTCCTCTGAGAAGCCCTCCCCATGCACCTGATAGAATCCATTTCCTTTGTTGCCTGCTTACTTAGAACTGGGTTCCTTTCCTTCAGCACAATTCCATCACTGTGTTCAGCCCTGAGGTTACTGGACTGTCTGTCTCCCCTACCAGACTATAAACTCAAGGAAGGTGAGGGCTAGGCCTGGTTTTGCTCACCATGCTATTCTTAGTATCTAACATACACCTCGAAGTCCTGGTGTGGTGCTACAGGGCACTACACTAGATCGCAAGGTCAGCTGAATTGCAAGGTTGGTGGTTCAAACCCACCAGCTATATCTTGGAAACTCTACACAGGGTTTGAGTCAGAGCTGACTCAACAGTACTTAACAACAACAACCTAAACCTCAGCAAATAGTTAATAAACAAACAAATAAATTTAGCAGACTTTAGAACTAGTTTAATAAGAACTCCATAAATACCAAAGATTATTCTGTTTGCTAGATATCCTTTTTTGCAAGGGGGGAGGGATGCAGGGGGTATGCATGTCTTTAATTGCTTTCTATTTAGCAAATGCACTTACCTGGGCCTTCCGGGTGGCTTGTGGCTCAATCATGATGTTGATAAGAGAGGGCTTAGTTGTGTCTGCCAGACTCTGCCTCAGAGATTTTTGGAGTTCCTCTGGTGTTTGCACAAAATACCCTTTGCCCCCAAATGCAGTCATGACCTGCTCATAATGGGAGTTTGGCAGAAGACAAACTGGAGGGGCCCTGAAAAAGAAGTTAAAGGGTCAATAAAGTTTACTCTTACGGCCTTTAGTAATGTCATTCTCTAAAATAATCTGTGAAGATAAACGGAACTGAAAAACATACTACTATCTCTAACACTTAAAATAAGATCTAAGTATACTAAGCTTTCGATATACAGTTGGTCCACTATATATGTGAGTTTTGCATCTGCGACTCAACCAACCATGGATCAAAAATATTCAGGAAGGAAAAAAAAAACACAATTCCGCAGTCAAAGCAATCACATTTATATTATATTAGGTATAGTAAATATTCTATTGGTTCCAAATCATATCACCCCTGAATAGGGTTTCTGAGGAGTGACTGGTGTGGCTGAGCCACCGACCTTGCAGTTAGCAGTCCAGTGCTTATCATACAGTGCCACACCAGGACTCTATAAGTAATCTAGAAATGATTTAAAGGAAATGGGAAGATGTATGCACACCATATACAAATACTACACCATCTTATATAAGGACCTTAACACCCATAGATTTGGGTACTCATGGGGATTCTGAACCAATACCTTGGAGATACCAAAGGACAATTGTGCTTTTAAAAATTAATGTTTTATCATGTTTTTGATGAAAGTTTACCCAGCAAATTTGGTTCTCATTTAGCAATTTCTATGCATACCAGCCGCTCCATGGGAGAAAGATGAGGTTTTCTACTCCCGTAAAGATTTACACCCTCGGAAACCCTGTACAGGGTCACTATGGGTCGGAACCGACTCGATGGCACTTAAAAACAACAACAACAATGCATATCATTTAGCAACACTGGTTACACTTTCTACAATGTGTCAACATTCTCATTATTTCCATTCTGGTTGCTTCTTATTCATTACTCTAACTTATCTGCCCTCCAAACACCCACCGCTTCACCATCTCATCTTTGTTTTGGGGTAGATGTTGACTGGTCTCATAGTTTTTTTTGTTTCCTTTTATTTTGTTTTTAAGGAGGACAGTACTTACAGGTGCTGTTTGTTTTATGAGCTTTTTTTTTTGAAACTGAAAGGGGATCTCTAGGAGTGGTTTCAGTACCAGGTTTAAAGGATGTCTTGGAACCACAGTCCACCATCTGTCTGTCAGTTTGTCATACAGTGGTGGCTTATGTGTTACCGTGATGCTTGAAGTAATAACACAGGTACTTTAAATACCAGCAGGGTCACTCATGGTGGACAGGCTTCAGCTGAGTTCCAAATAGGTACACATGTGTATATACATACATATACCTTGCTATAAGCACATATGTATACATATGGACCAATGTAAGCACACAGAATTTTCTATTGATATTGCTGTTGTTAAGTGCCATCGAGTTAGTTCCAACTCATAGTGACCGTATATACAACAGAACAAAACACCGCCATCCTCACAACTGCTGCTATGTTTGAGCACATTGCTGCTGCCACTGTGCCAATCCATGTCATGTGGGGTTCTAGATGTTATAGCATCTACTAAAAACATCCCTTACTCTGTTGTTATTGTTAAGTGTCATCGAGTCAATTATGACTCATAACAACCTTTTATAGGCCTTCCAAGGAGTGGATGGTGGATCTGAACTGCTGACCTTGTGGTCCAGTGCTTATCCTACACACCAGGACTCTAGTATACTCTTAGTGTCATCATTTACCTTGATCAAGTTGTTCAGACTTAACCCACATTTAGTACTGCCTTTATCACCACCAAATATGACTATTTAGAAAGTGATTCCTCACTTTTCCCCTCCCATTCCTGTTAACTATCAAAGAATGCTGCTTTCTGTATGTGGACTGATTCTTTTCTTTTTATACAAGTGAGATCATCCTGGCCACCACTGCTGACCACTATGAACAGGATCACAACAGAAGGTCTGTAGTAGAGTGGGAGAAAAATGGGGAACAAAACTCAAAATTGTAAAGAGACCAGTCTTACTGATTGGCTGCAGGCTAGTGGAATCCCTGAGGCTATGGTAGGCACACTGTAAGCCTGGAACTGAACTCACCATCAACGCCCAGCCAAACAATAGGCAGGCCTATAAGGTGAACAGTAACACTAGAGAGGTACACACCCCTACAACAATCAACCATTTGAGATCAAAAGAGCAGCATTTGCCCAGGGATAAAGTTCAGAAGGCAGGGAGAGATAGGGAAGAAGGATGATTGGAAATGGTAAACATGGAAAGGTAATGAAAATTCACTGTAACATTGTGGGGATTTCAATCAATGTCATGAAGCAACATGTGTATGAATTGTTGAATGGAAAACCAATTTGCTCTATAAACTCACCCAAATAAAAAGTTTTTAAAGTAAACTTATATAATACTTGTCCTTTTGTGAATGACTTATTTCACTCAACATACTGTCCTCCAGATTTATCCACTTTATATTTTGAGAACACTTCCGTGTAGTTTATAGCTGTATTGTATTCCACTGTATGTATATATCACAATTTGTTTATCCATTTACTCACTGAAGGGGACTTAGGTTATTTCCATCTTTTTCACTGAATAACATTGTAATGAACATAGGTTTGCATGTGACTATCCATGTCACTGATATTAGATCTCTAGGGTACATATCTAGAATTGCTGAATCTATTTTTATTTCTAGTTTTTTGAGGAAGTGATTGTACCATTTTATAATCTCACCAGCAACAGATCAGGGTTCCAATATCTCCACAATTTTGTCAACATTTGTTATTTTCTGGATTTTAAAAAATTTTTTATCAGTGCCATTATTGTAGGAGTAAGTTGGTATCTCATTGCAGTTTTTATTTGCATCTCTCTAAGGAGTTCTGAGTTCTGGTGTGGCAGTGTGGGTTAATGTGCCAGACTGCAAAGCCATTTGAACTGCAAGACTGGCAGTTCAAGTTCACCAGCTGCTCCTTGGAAACCCTCTACAGGGTCGCTATAGGTCAGAACTGACTCACTGGCACTTCACAACAACAACATGGAGCTCTGGTAGCATAGTAGTTACAAATCGGGTTGCGAGCCACAAGGTAGGCAGTTTGAAACTACCAGCTGTTTTGTGGGAGAAAGATGAGGCTTTCTGCTCCCGTAAAGATTTACAGCCTCAGAAACCCTGCACAGGATCGCTATGAGTCGGAACCGACTCCATGGCACACAACAACAACAACAAATGACTAATGGGAGAGAACAGTGGTTCCGTCTGATAAGTATTGGACTGTGAACCACAGAGTTGGTGGTTCAAACCCACCAGCCACTTTGTAGGAAAAACATGAGGCTTTCTGCTCCTGCAGAGAATTAGTTTCAGAAACCCTATATGAGTCAGAACCAACTTAACAACAACAGCTAATGATCTTAAGCATCTTTTCATGTGTTGATTGGTTGCTTGAATGTTCTCTTTGATAAAGTGTCTGTTCATGTCCTTTGGTTGCTTTTAAATTGCATTGTCTGTCTTTCTCTTGTTCAGTTGTTGAAATTTTCTATATATTTTAGAGATTAGACTCTTCTCAGGTATGAGGGGATTTCAAAGTGTTTATGGAAAGTGGAATTAAAAGATAATGGAATTTAGCCTGAAACAGCTGGAGCAATACAAGATAAATCTTCAAAGAAAGATCAGCAGGAAAAATTCAAAACAAAAATGACAGTATGACTGCCTACTACAAGAACAAGCAAGTTGTTCACCAGGGAACCATCAAGGCAAGCAATCAAATCCCTTCAGGACAAACCTCCCTCCAAGACTGAAACTCAAAGGAAACACATGAGTAGACACGTAAGCTTGCTGGTGACCATGTTAGTCTACTGGTGAGTGGAAGAGGTGAAAAAGCAGCAATAAAGAAATGAACTGAGTTCAACCATGCTCTATAGACTCCCACTGACCTGGAGATGATAGAGAGAAGAGGAAGAGCTGGTTGGCCCAAAGTATGGTAAGACCTGGGGACTCCTGAGCCCATGGACAAGGACATAGCCACTGAGGACTAGAGCTGAAAGCGAAGCATCCAGCTGATATGAAGTGAGGAGAGATGCACAAGAACACCCAAACTTGCAGACAGTATTCATCTGACCTAGCCTCAATGGCTTGATAATCAGAACTCAACGAGAGAGAGAAAAAAAAAATTTTTTTTTTTTATAAAGGACACTAGTGTAAATTGCTACAATTTGATGAACTTGACCTATACTCATGGATGTAGTAACTCAAAATACCAACTGAGAGGGAAGGAATCTTCACATCAAGTAATCAATCCTATCCCTTCTGTGTACAGGGTAGATAGGGACGAGCAACTTAAGCACTGGCTACCTAAAATGAGAGGTGATAAAGGCATGAAGTGACTGGCTTACAAGTTTTCAAGAGGGAGTTTAGTTTAAGAGCATGCGGGGGCTGGGGGAGGTGGGGAAGGGAAGAATCCCCACTGAATAGTTTTCATCTTGTCTCAGTGGGTCTGGTGAAAAGAGATGGGGATAAGATTCCTATGATTCAACAGTGAGTAATTGTTATCATAACTAACTACGACTGTCACAACTATAAAGGTAGAAGTTTTTTAACAAAACTGGGGGAGTAGTTAATCTTATAGTACAGAAACAGAGGACCCTAGGACCATCAAGAGAGAAGAACACATGCAGAGTGCGGGACCCTATCCAGAGAAGCAGTGACACCAGAGATGGAGGCAGAGATGAGGACATGGAGAGAGGGAGCAGCTGAGGATCTGGACTCATGGAAAGAGAAGGACTGGGTGCTGAAAGCAGCCAGAAGTAAGGCTTGCAGAATGCACCCTTTGGATGTTTAAATTATTACATATTCCTGAGTGTCTCTGTGTACATCCTGCCCCCCTCCAAACACCGCCCCCCAAAAAAAAAACCAAAACATGGAATGGAACCAAATACTGTTGAATGATGATACACAGAGGAGATTGTAATCACTGCAATGAAATGATGGTGTAAAGCCGATATTCTCCCATGTAAACTATCACTCAGTTCACAATAAAAACTTAAAAAAAAAAAAGATAATGGAATTTTCCACTAACTTTTTGAAGCCCCCTTATATATTGTACCCAGAGATTTGTTGTTGTTGTTGTTGTTGTCATGTGCTATCGAGTCAGAACCGACTCATAGCAACCCCATGCACAGCAGAACAAAACAATGTCCAATCATGGGCCAACCTCACTACTGCTGCCACACTTGAGTCCATCAATGATGCCACCTGGCCAATCCATCTCATTAGGGGTCTTCCTCTTTTTCTCTGACCCTCCACCTTACAGAGCATGACATCCTTCTCCAGCGACTGTTCCCTCTGGACACTATGTCCAAATTATGAGAGACGAAGCTTAGCCATCCTGGCCTCCAAGGAGCACTCTGGCTGCACTTCTTCCAAAACGGATCTATTGGTTCTTTTGGCAGTCCATGGCACTTTCAGTATTCTCCTCCAACACCACAACTCAAAGGCATCAATTCTTCTATGATCTTCCTTATTCACTGTCCAGCTTTCGCATTCATATGAGGTTATTGAAAATACCATGGCTTGGGTCAGGCGCACCTTAGTCCTCAAGCTGACATCTCTGCTCTTCAATACTTTAAAAAGTTCCTGTGCAGCAGATTTGCCCAATGCAATACGTCGTCTGATCTCTTGATGGCTGCTTCTGCGAGTCTTGATAGTTGATCCAAGAAGAATGAAGTCCTTGACAACCTCAATCTTTTCTCCATTGATAAGAATCTTGTTTATTGGTCCAGTGGTGAGGATTTTTGTTTTCTTGACATTGAGATGCAATCCATATTGAAGGCTGTGTTCTTTGATCTTCATAAGTAAATGTTTCACTTTTAGCAAGCAAGGTTGTATCATTGGTATATCGCAGGTTGTTAATGAGTCTTCCTCCAATCCTGATGCCACATTTTTCTTCATAGAACCAAGCTTCTTGGATTATTTGCTCAGCACACAGGTTGAACAACTTGAACAGGTTGAACTACTTCCGAATTGCCAGTCACTGAAAACTCTATGAATAGCAGAGAAACACTGTCAGTTACAGGACTGGAAGGTGGGAAGGCACTCAGAATGCGACTGGGGAAAAAAATGCCTCCTCAAAGTAGAGTTGACCCAGAGATTTATTCCTCAGGATTTCTTTTTACTTTTTTGATAGTCTTTTCATAAACATAACTAACTTTTTGGAAGTCCCAGTTACTTATTTTGTCTGTGCATTTATAATTGTGACTAATAATCTATTTCTAAAGACAATTAGGTCCCATAGCTTTGTCCCTGTATTATTTTCCAGGAATTTTATAGTTTTAGCTTTAACAGTTAGGTCTTTGATAAATGTTTAGTTAGTTTTTATGTATGATGTGAGACATAGAACCCGTTTCATTTTTTTGCAAAAGGGTATCATTTTGCCAGTACTATTTGTTAGAGAGACTGGTTCATTCTCACTGAGCAGATTTTAACTCTTTGTTGAAAATCAGCTGCTCATCGATGGATGGATTTACTTTTGAGTTTCCAAATACTTCTTTAAGGTCCATCTATTACTGTCCAATAGAATGTTCTGTGATGTTGTAAGTGTTTTATATCTATGACCTGTTGCTACTGAGCACTTGAACTGTGGTTAGTAAAACTAAGAAATCTCTTGGCTACAAACCAAAAGCCTGGCAATTCAAATTCATCCAATGGCACTGAGGAAGAAAGGCCCAACAATTTGCTGTTGTTGTTGTTAAGTACTGCCAAGCCTGTTCCAAATCATTGTTGTTGTTGTTGTTATGTACCGTGGAGTCGGTTCCAATTCATAGCGACCCTGTATAGGGTTTCCGAGGCTGTAAATCTTTACGGGAGCAGAAAGCATCATCTTTCTCCCATGGAGCAGCTGGTAGTTTCGAACTGCTGACCTTAAGGTTCACAGCCCAATTCGTAACCACTACGCTACCAGATCTCCTTTTGTTCCAAATCATAGCAACCCTATTATATAGGGCTTCCAAGAAGACCCTAAGATGCTCTGGTAGAGTAGTAGTTACGAATCGGGCTGCTAACTGCAAGGTCAGCAGTTAGAAACTACCAGCTGTTCCGCAGGAGAAAGATGAAGCTTTCTGCTCCCATAAAGATTTACAGCCTCAGAAACCCTGTATAGGGTCGCTATGAGTCAGAACTGACTCCACGGCACATAACCACCAACCAACCACCAAGGAGACCCTGGTGCTTGTCCTACAGTGTCACACCAGGACATAACAAATTAGAGTCACTGAATCCCTATGAAGTACAGTTCAATCTGAAACGCATGAGGTCACCATGAGATGGAACCAACTGGATCACAACAGGTTTTGTTTTGGGCTTTAGTGGTTACCTTACGAGACAATGCAGTCCACATTACCGACTATTATAAATCTAAGCGAAGAAAAGAGACATGGTTACTGTAAAACAATAAATAACTTCAACTCCACTATATAGTTTGGGAATGAAGTCAATTAGGCATAAACAAACATACTGACATTCAAATTCCACTCACTCTTCCCCCAGACTAATACAAATTCACATTCCCTTCACACCACCTGGCCAGCTCTAACACTGTTTTAAGCTAGATCTGTCTTCAGGTGATCAGGATTTAGGTAAGTGATAAAAGGAAGACCTCTGGATCACAATTAACCGACAACACCCATGTTCTGACATGCTGCATTAATTCTGGGATCATTCTGCAATGAGGGCTGTAATGAACAAGGCTTAGCCCTCAGCCCCATTCATCTGAGTCTTCAGTAGTGCTGGATAATCATCAGAAACTATTTACTGAAACATGTATCCTGGATGGTTGTGCAAAGAGGAATCAAGTACACATGGGTCCTATCACTTGGAGGCGGTGACCATCGAACTGAACAATACTCATGCCACATAAACAAGTAGATTCACATAGAGTAGAATTTTAGAGAAAGATTAAAATAGATGTGAGAAAGTGCATCTAATGTTCTAGGTTACTCACACAGTAGCAGTTTCTCCAAAATTTAACATCTCCTTCCAAGTACCCGTATCAACACCTTGGTAAATTCCATTATTATTCACTACCAAGAGTATGATTGGCAGGTTGTGCCTAAAATTGAGAGCAAAGTACAAAGAAAATCATTCCTAATTATAAAGCAATTTCTTTTGAGTTTTAATTTTAACTTAAAAATGGGTATGTCTTTGACTTAGAGTCAAACTAAAGACCAGGAACTTGTTATCCTAATAAAGAATATTGAACCATTAACAGAAACATCATAAAGTGATAGAGTGACTGTAAGACTGGGGTTGGTAGATCTGAATTTTTGTCAGTTCTACCACTATTTAGTTAGGTACCTAGAGCAAGTCTCGAGTTACTCTGAATCTGGGTCTTTCTAGAACCAGAGGGTAATAAGAATATACCTTCCCTACTTATTAACCTCTGAACATCATCTCCAAGCCTATTTGAAATGCAACTTCTTATTAATTGAGCTTTTCTTAGACAACCAACATATGCTTGAGGCAGTGGGAGATGCACAAGACAAGCATTTCAAATGTGCTCTACCCTCAAACCACTTCACTCATAATTAGAAAAACATCATGTAATAATTTAATTAGAAAAAAGATAGTATTTAACAAATTACCAAACAGTGTGGTGAAGTCAGAAAAAGGTTTGATTAAACCTTATTAATGATCAACAAAAGAACATGAGTTATATTTCCTACAGATACATTTCTGAGACCAAGTGGTGAAAACAAAACTAAACTGCATACTGTCAAATCTCAGGATTTTGGCAGGGCTGGTTTGGAGTCCTGGATTTTGGTAACTGTTTGCTCTCTATGCTAAAAGGGAATCATTATTTCCGGGAAAGCTGGCTTCCCCACACATTATCTTCTGGCCAAGCAGTGAACTTGGATGTCAATACAGACACATACTTTCCCCCTGATCTTGAAAGCTTTATGTACCAAATGCTAAACGTCCCAAGCCATGATTCACTAAGTTTTACTAAGACCCCTGGCTAAGAACAGAATGGTTTTACTATAGTTAAATACAATCATGGGAAAACATTCCCCACGCTTCTAGAGTAGGATCTATAACCCAGAAACTTCCCCATGAATCCCCATAACATACTGTGAACAGTGCATATTCACTGAGAGCTCACCTTTACCTGGATGACCTCATTTGTTTCTCATAAGCATCCTCTAAGAAAAGAATATTCCTAGTCCTGTTTTAAAAGAAACTGATGCCTAGGTAAGTGACTTAACCAATCGCTTGGCTCTGACATGGTAGAGCCAGTATTTAAATCCAGGCCTCCTGACCCCAGAAGAGGCCCTGAACATGATGCCTTGAAGACAAAGACTCTGGGTTATTTCTATTTGTAATCTCAGGACACAGTTCAGTGCCTAGTTCATGGAGAACACTTGCTAACCTTTTAATAGGTGAGTGGGTTTTGTGTGTCATTTTTCATACTTGGGAAAATGAAAAAGCTCAAGGTCAAGATGATGTTTTACCTGCAGATGGTTTCCACTTCCATGCCAGAAAATCCAAACGCACTGTCTCCTTCCACACAGATGACCCGCTGACCTGGGTTCCTATCTTTCGCCACTATAGCAGCTGCAATGGCAAATCCCAAACCAACTCCCATCGTTCCAAAAGTTCCAGCATCAAGCCTATTTGGAAACAAAGGTATAAAGTGAAATATTCTGAGGCATGTTACAGAGAGTGGGGCTAGCACAAACTTTCCAGATGTGTTCACATGGTTCATGGGAAAATAAACTAGTCTTTCTTCAATACAAAATCATTAAAATGTGAAGAACAAACTTAGCAAAGGTAAGCAGAATGAGAGAAAAATAATCCCTGTGACTGCTTGGAAGACTGTAAAATATCCTAGGAACACTGGGAGCACACAGTCATATGACTGCTATGACATATCAAGCATTGTTGTTGCGAAGTGTCGTCGAGTTGGTTCTGACCCATAGTGACCCTATATACAGTTTCCGAGGAGCAGCTGGTGACCTTGACCACCGACTTTACAGTTCAAACTGACAAGCAGTCCAGCGCATTAACCCACAGCGCCACACCAAAACTCCTATACAGAGCATAACAACTACAAAATAGCAAGCATAAAGGCTACAAAATTGTATCTAAAACTCTTTGTACAAGCTATGCCCTTACACACTAAAAATACATACTTCTTAAATGTTTCATTAGCCTGCATTATTGTGTTTAACACATTAAAATTAAATACTAGGCTACAGTTTTCCTGTTTGGAAGCCTTGCCTGTGACGAGGAAGGTAGTTCTGAAGCACCGTGCGGCCAATGTCCATAGTGTTTGCTCCTTCGCTTACCAAAACACAGTCTCTGGGTAGTTGTTCTTGAACATGGTAGAATACTGTGTAATAGTTCATAGGTAGAGATCTTTTGGAAGCTAATTCCTAAAACAGAAGGAAATAAAACAGAAGAAAATAAAATATACTGAAATATAATGAAAATAACCAGTGTGAATACACTATTTTCAAACCTATCCGGCAAATGTTGTTGTGTGATGTAGACTCGTTCCGACCCATTGTGATCCTGAATAGGGTTTCTGAGGAGCAGCTGGTGAGCTTGAACTACTGACCTTGTGATTCAAACTGACTCTGCAGTCCAACACATTAACCCACAGTGCCACACCAGGACTCTATTTGGCAAACTACTAAGCAATAGTTAAAGGTACACCTCCCCTAAGAAGCTAACTGACCTGGGAATAGTCCTGACAAGCTAAGAAAAATGAGAAACCCTTTAGTAAAGACAGCTGAGAAACACTGAGCTAAATAAAACCAATCAATCTTATTTGAGCGCTCTCAGGAGAGCAATGTCTTAGAAAACCTGAAATTTTCAGTCCAGAAAATTTGATTTAAGATATGTCTATAAACTTTAAAATGACAGGATTTTAGAGAATAATCTGAAAATTTGCTTGTCCCCTTACCCCTCAGCCCCACCCGCATGTACTTGAGGGTAAAGGAAATGCAACGGGGCTTCAAAAAGTTTGTAGAAATTTTTCATTATCTTGTAAATCCCCTTGTATACGACACTCACTATGCCCAGTCCCTGGATGGAGGCCTACTGGCACTAGAGAAAGTCACATGGGGCATTAGTAACAATGCCCCCGGACCACTCAGCCCCAGTTTTGCCTCTACCTCAAGCTACTTTGGTCTGACATTATATCCAAGATAAATGAATGGCCCGCTGACATTCCTGTACCAGAAGCCAGTCCCTTTTCTGTTAAATTACAGTGATTCCTAGGGAAGAAAAGGGAGTCCTGGTGTGGTACTGCAGGATAATCACTGGGCAGATCACTCTAAGATTAGCGGTTCAAACCCATCAGCTGCTCCTCAGAAATACTATACAGAGTGTCACCATGAGTTGGAACTGATTAAATGGCACTTAACAGCAACAAGGAAAAGAGAAGCGATTAATAACGATACTATTCAGGAAATAGAAGTAAGGCTGGCTCATGACAGGAGAAAGTCAGTGATTAAAGTTCCAATATAAGACATGTACAGGTAAGGAGCTCTGGTAGCGTAGTGGTTACGAATCGGGCTGCGAACCTTAAGGTCAGCGGTTCGAAACTACCAGCCGCTCCGCGGGAGAAAGATGAGGCTTTCTACTCCCGTAAAGATTTACACCCTCGGAAACCCTGTACAGGGTCGCTATGGGTCGGACCCGACTCGATGGCACTTAACAACAACAACAACAACAGGTAAGTTGTACTATAATGCTTGTTTTAAAAATGTGGATTTGTTCATTGAGAAAGACTAGGTGAAAGCAAAATGCTGAATCAAGAAGGATAGAATACATAGAACAGAGAAAAAAATCAGAAACAACCTTTCTCATCATCGAAAAGAAAGCACTATCTATCTACATACTAAGATTTAAATACACTAAAATTTAAACAAAAAACATCCAATTCAGAAGTGATGCCTTTTACTGCTAGAGTTGGTGGCTTGATGATCTCAAATATTACTACAATTTCCAAAGCCTAAAGCTACCAGGTAAAGCCTAAAATACAAATTAGAAAGTAAAAGAATTTTTAGCAGTGATACAAAAGCTAATTGTAAAAAATCAATCTTCTATTTTAATGAAATAATATAAACAATTATCTCAAAGAACCTGTATCTTAAAACACAAAAATATACCTCAGTACTTAAGACAGTGACAGATTGCTTAATGTGATGTTTGGTTTTGACATCAAACTGAGGCCATATCTTCTACATCCAGAGTTAAAACTTTCCAGTTTACATAACCCACCTTCAGATACTCATTTCCACAAACAAACTGCAGGTCCTTTTCAAGGTTGTTGTTGTTGTTAAGTGCCAATGAGTTGGTTCTGACCCATAGTGACCCTGTGCAGGGTTTCCAAGGAGCTTTCTGCTTCCATAAAGATTCTAAGTCCCATATTACCTTGGATGCAGCTTCATTGCTCTTCATTTTTTCCCGAAGAGTTTTCCACCATGTGCTCTCTAGAGGATACTGCCATGGAGCTTTATCAAACTCTTCTAAAAGCTAAAAAAACAAACAAATGATTTTTACCTTTTTGAAAACAAACTTAAATAATATTAACATTGAAAAAAAATTTCTTCTTAAAGAAGACTTAAAATAATATTCTTTTTTTAAAAGCTTTTATTGTGAATTGAGTGAAAGTTTACAGGGCAGATCATCAGTTTTACATTCAATAAATCATATACTTGGTTTCATTACAATGATTATAATCACCTCCATGTACCATCAGTTAACAGTATTTCTCTCTATTCATTTTAGCTTTTTTTTTTTTTTTTTTAAACACTCAAGCATATATAATAATTTACACCACCAAAGGGCACTTCTGCAAGCTTGCCTTCTGGCCGCTACCTCTCAGTCCCTCTCTTTCCATGAATCTAGAGTCCTCAGCTGCTCCCTCTCTCCATGTCGCCATCTCTGTCTTCATCTCTGGTGTCACTGCTTCTCTGGATAAGGTCTCGCATTCTGCTTATGCTCTTTTCCCTTAAAATACTCTTCTTTTATCCTGTCCCTCACATCACTAGTACTGCTTGTTTTTCTCTTGGCAGCAAACAGCTGATAGAATATAAATGGGTAACATGGAAAGCTTTTGCCTGAACAAGCATGGATTTCCACTAGGTAGTAGGATTTCCACCAGACAGACTACACCTCACAGGCAGAGGTTCCTAAGTCCTCCTCAGTCTTTGACACTAGAAAAGTCCATTACTTCCACAGAACCCTTGCAGGAAGGTCAACATCCCCAGATTCCTATGACACAGAACAAATGTTCCAGAGTATTTTAATATGCAATTTGGAACTGCATGCTACTATTGTGTGATCTTGTTATAGACAGGTCGGCAGCTCAAATCCAGCAGTCACTCCTCAGAAACCCTATACAGGGTCACTATAAATCAAAACCAACTCAACGGCACTTAACAACTGTGTGATCATGTTTACTAATACTAATTTGCACTAGCCTAAATCATGTAATAATGTGACAATATTTTATTTCATGTAACAATGAAATGTGTAAATTATGTACAAATAATCAGAACCTAGACAAGTTTCCAATTACAGTTTGAAGAGAAAAAAGCTCTTTACTGTCTGGAGAAATGTTAAGTTATACTTTTCCAGGGCCTATGCCATTTCTTGGCTGTAAACTCAGTTCCTGTAATCTATATTATAATTTTTAAGACGTTGTTAAGTTGTTAAGTGCCATAGAATTGGTTCCGACCCATAGCGACCCTGCATAGGGTTTCCGAGGAGCAGCTGGTGACCTTGAACCGCCGATCTTGCAGTTCAGACCAACTTTGCAGACCAGCGCATTAACCTGCAGCGCCACATCAGGACTCCATTTTTAAAACAGCTGGATCATATTTAGTAAGTTACTGTTTCGCGTTCTGAATGACTAGAATTTCAAACATGTACCAGAAATGCTTAACTTAGTCATATACAAGTGGTTAGTACGAGGAGTTACAATCACTGAGTTCCAAAGTTACATTTAAGAATAGTTTTCCATCATAAATTTTACTTAAAATAGGATTAATAATCCTGTCACCAAGTGAATGAAGATGCAAGTATTTTCAAGAACTGTTCTTTAAAGACCATTCCTCATAAACTAAACCTCACGCAAAAGTGCTCACCTGTTTAGTTACAGCATTTATGTCTCCTAGCAAAGTAACAGCAGGCCTGACATTATTACCCAGCTCTTCTGCACAGATATCAACCTAAAAGAGAGACAAGACTGAAGAACAAGCCAGGCTTAGTCTGAAAAATCTTTAAGAAGTCAATTAAGGTAGGATAAATTAACCATGTGTCTATATATGATATGGACTTCTAGTGTGGACCTATAGGATCAGTACTAGACTGAGAACCACAAGGTCGGCAGTTCAATCCTACCAACTGCTCTGCGGAAACCCTATATAGGGTCGCTTTGAGTCAGAACTGACTTGACACTTACCAGCAACATATACAAGATAAAGAAAATTTAATATTTAAGAAAAGAAATAATTCACAGAACTTTATGAGCATCACAGAAAGTAGAGAGATCATTTTTCCTCATTCTAAAATCTACTTGTGATATTTTGTTGTCTACTTGTGATCAATTATAGCTTTAAATACATGCAATAACAAAGTTTTACTTAACTACATTTGGAATTCCTAACTAGAGCAGGAGTTCTCAAATTTGAGTATCATCAGAATCACCTGGTAAACTTGTTAAAGCCAGGAGTGCACCTGCACGAGCACTCCCTCAGAGTTTGTGACTCAGCATGTCTGGGGCGGGCTCTAGAAGTTGGCATTTCTACTAGGTTATCAGGTGATGCTGATACTGCTGCTCTGGGGACCACATTGGGTGAACCAGTCGTAGAGCGTGGCATGATTACTTCCCCATCATTCAGAAACTCCATTTCTGGAGGGCCTAGAACATCCAGGGCAAACGAAAATACCTTCTTAATCAGGAATAATTTAACCACTCAAAGGAAATGGACTTTACTCTGTAACCAAGGAGTAGCAGCATCCCTCAGGGTTATTTCAGGTCTTTCTTGCTTGTGGTTTTAGTTTTCAATAGCCCCAGGTGGGGAAAAAGACCATTAGAGGCAGACTTCTTAAGTAAAAGGTATCTGGGGAGATGAGAGCAACTAGAGTTGGATCATTAAATATAAAATGGGATGGGGCCAATTTGTTTAGGGCCAAGAGCTCTTCATGCTGTGTGGGCAGTACTTTCCATGACATTAGGAAACTGGACTATAAAGAGAGTCATAATAATACAAGAGTCATCAAAGAGGTCATGGTGGGTTCCAGTTCCTCTGTTTAATAACACAGGTAAATGCGGCACAGTTTAGAAATTTCCAACCAAAGGGACATTTGAGCATCTAAAAAAACTCAGTATTGAAGAACTGAGTATTCAGTGTTTCATTCTAACCTACCATCAAGGTTTCAAGCTGGTTCATTCTGGTTTAACCCCTGCCTGTACAGGGTCGCTATGGGTCGGACCCGACTCGATGGCACTTAACAACAACAACAACAACCATTGTACTTAAACCTCTGCTCTATTGTGGAATATCTTAAACTTGAAAAGACAAGAGCGTCAGGTTGGTGCCAGCACTTAGCATGCTTGGCTGTTAACAAAAGTTTGGTGGTTCAACTTTACCTAGACATTTCTTGGAAGAAAAACCTGGATATCAGTTTCTGAAATCAACCACTGAAAACCTTATTGAGCACAGTTCTACTGTAACACGCATAGTGGTGCCACGAGCAGGAGCTGACCCAAAGGGAATTGGCTTGTTGTTGTATTTTAATGGAGAAGAGGCAAATACTGCTTATTTCCCAAGCCATTTAAAACTTGATTTTGAAAGATTTTTTGAGTGGAAGTAAACGGACGTTTTATGCTTTAATGCTTGTTTCCCAAGCCATTTAAAACTTGACTTTGGAAAATTTTTTGAGTGGAAGTAAAAGGACATTTATGCTTCTTCAGTTTGAAAAGACAGCTTATTTGGTGTGGCGCTGCAGGTTAATGCAATGGACTGCAAAGTTGGTTTGAGCCTCCAGGTCAGCAGTTCAAGCTCACCAGCCACTCCTCAGGAACTCTATACAGGGTTGCTGTGAGTCAGAACCAACCTGACGGCACTTAAAAACAGCAATAACATAATTATTTTATACGATTTATAAAATTCTATTTTTGTAAAAAGAAAGATGGTTGTTTACAAAAGACAAGCAAACAGAGGAAGTGGCAATGTTTGGGACGAAGACTAGCGGATTATAGATAGCTCTGATTAAGTCTCTCCTCTCCAAGTACCTGGATAAACTTCACATCGGCTTGATACCGTGGAGGCAGTCCAAAATGCAAAATCCAATTTAATCTTGCACCAAATAACACAATCACATCAGCAAATTGCAAAGCCCTATTAAAAAATAAAATCTGATGTCACACAAAAAATATCTCTTGAGTGATTTAAAAATTAAAGTATTTTTAAAAGTTAAAATAAACAATTTGGAGTTTACATTAGACTTTGGAATTAGTTCTACAGTTAATGTGATCTCTGAAAGTAAAATTTCTAAGCCAACTTAATATAAAAATTAATGCAAGTCCACTGTGGATAGTCTAGAAAAATCAGAAAATGTACAAAGAAAAAAAAAAAAAATCAAATAGCCCAATACTGTCACCTTATTATTTGGAGTCCTACTATGGTACTGTAGGATAAAGTACTGGAATGCAAGGTCAGTGGTTAAAACACACAAGCCACTCTGATCAGAACCGACTTGGTGGCGCTTAACAACAAATCACCTTAACTGTTACTCATATCTTTGGAATATTTCCAGCTAGTCCATTTTCTATGTGGGTATATTTTTGCATAGCTGAGTTCATACATTGTAACATTGTCTCATGTACTTTTGCTTATCATACATGTTTTTATTTGTCATTAAATTCCTCTTACAACATTTTTAAAGGCTACAGATTATGTTGAACATATATGGAATGCTTTATGTAGTCTTTTCTCTATTATTGAATATTTCCTGTTATAAGTTCTGAGTTGCAAATCATTGAGCTTGAATTTTAATGCGGACTTCACATTGATTCTAAGAAGAAGGTATTTTTATAGCTATTGATTATATATTCTCAGCTTACTTACTGGAAATATACCACATATATTTCTACTAGTTTCTACCTACAGTTTTAATATTATATTGTTATTATGTGCCGTGGAGTCGGTTCTGACGCATAGTGACCTTCTACAGGGTTTCCGAGGCTGTAAATCTTTACGGGAGCAGAAAGCCTCATCTTTCTCCCATGGAACAACTGGTAGTTTCCAACTGCTGACCTTGAGATTCGCAGCCCAATTCGTAACCACTACGCTACCAAAGCTCCTTTAGGCTTTAAATATTCATTTTATCTTTTCTCAATAAAAATAACTTCTGATCTTTAATGATTCTTACTTTGAAATCCACAGTATCTGATGTTAACAGAGCCACCCTTGCTTTCTTTCATACATCTTTGCAGATTCTTATTTCTACGCAGTATTGTTTCATTTCAGATGTGGCTGTTGTGATGCATATGTTATTGTTATTAGGTGACAAGAGTTGGTTCCAACTCATAGTGAGCAACCTTACAAACAACAGCACAAAACATTGCCCAATCCTGAGCCATCTCACAACCATTGCTAAACTTGAACCCATTGTTGCTTGTCACCGTGCCAATCCATCTCGTTGGGGGTCTTCCTCTTTCTCGCTGACTGTCCACTTTAACCCATATAGTTGCTGTTATTATTAACACAATCTGAATGTCTCTGCTTTTACTCAAGAGAGTTTATTGTAATACTCACCGTAGGGTTTTGTCTTCTTGTTTTTCTGATTCTTGGCCATTTCCCTTTTTTATTATCCTTTACTATGTAGATCTGTCCTTTGTCAGTGACTTATGTTATTTTCCACAGAAATTCAGTTATCGTTTCAAACTGCTGTTGTTAAGTGCCATCAAGTCGATTCTGACCCATAGCGACCCTGTATAGTGTTTCTGCGGAGCAACTGGTGAGCTTGAAGCGCCAACCTTGCAGTACAAATGGCTTTGCAGTCTGGTGCATTAACCCAGAGCTCCACACCAAGGAATCTTCATTGACTTTTCTGATTCTAAGGTACCCAATTTAACAAACGGACTAAAACTGTAATTGGCAAGGTAGATTTGCATATGACGACACTTGGAGACCCTTGAGATTACTGATTCAGCTATCTTTTCCCCACTATTAATTCACTAGCAATATCTTCTAAAAATTTGGCCGGAATGAAGAAAAACTTCAGGCTAAAGTATACACACACAAGTTATAATCTGTTTACTATACAACGTATTCTAATATGAACAAAAAATAACAACATAATCTATTAAGATGACATGAAATAAGCAATAAAGATCAATCAGCAAACATTACCTTTTTAAAACACTCAAAATTAGTTTCAGCGTATGCATGAGAATATGAACATCACAAAACACATGGTGATGATTGGCTGTGACGATCGAAGGAGGGAATGGGAGCAGGAAACAGACACAGGGGACCACAAATCTGTAATCTTTTGTTTCTTAAAATCAAAGCAAGACCCTAAGGCAATTATGACAAGTGATAAAGGTGATAAAGTTGAGTAATGGTTACATTCATGCTCATTAAATCAGTTTCTCTTACTGTATACGTATTTAAAATATTTCACAGTAAAGAAATGTCAAAGAATTAAAAGAAAAAAAACTGAAAGTGTATATTCAAAGTCTGAAAAGAAAGACTTCTGTGCCATTCAAGATGGAGTAAGCACACTACAGCCTCTCTCCCATGGATTGCAACAAAGAATTCTGAACAAAACAGAAAAGGATTCTGCAACGAGAACAACAGGCAGGGACTGGGTGTCAAGGTTTGAAAAAGCAATCCACACAAAGGAGTGAGTTTCCAAGTGATTTCTCCCTCTTGTATCTCCTGGCTTTGATTCAGGGCAGTCCTAGTTACAGAACTTCAGGCAGCAAAAATTCGAGAAAAACTCTTGTTTCTCGGACCACACGTTACAAAAAGAGGTTCCTACAAGCTGAAAAGTACTGTGTGGGGGAAGATGGTTAATCTTCTTTTATCTCTTCCAGTTCTGTCCTAGGGTAGTCTCAGTATAAGAGAGTTACATTATATAGTGACTTCCAGGTTGCTAAAATCCCCAAAGAAACCCCACCTATCAGGTCTGAAAACCAGGAAAGGGATTCCTAGGACTCAAAGAGAAGGTGTGGGATCCCAGAGAGGAGAGAAAAAGAACCCCAAATATTGGGTGTGACCCTGCATACATCTGGGGTTCACCAGTGAGCTAGGCATGTGTGGAACAGACTCAAAAAAGCACAGTCAAGGCTCTGATAGCTGGAATTAGACTGGAACTACCGCCCATGCCAGTTAAGACAAAACCTGCAGTCTAAACCTAACCACGCTGATTACTTGGTTGATAGGCTCAACAAACGCCTCCACCCACCTGCCATCCCACCTCCACTGAAACACAGGAACACAAACACATAAAAATATTTTACTGGTGATTTTAACAGGGTCTAGAATCTCACAACATAGTATTCAAAGTATCCAGGATGCAACCTAAAACATTAGAAATCAGAACAAAGTGATCAATTCGCAAAACTACCATATGGTAACTCAAAAACAATACAGATGTTGGAGTTAGTTAACAAAGGCTTTAAGTAGCCATTATAACTATATTCCATAAGGAAAAAAAAAAAAAAAAGTACCCTTGAAATATGTGGAAAAAAACAGAAGTTCTCAGTAGAGAAACTATAAAGAGAGAAAAGATGGGGAAAATGAACAGATTCAAGAAAATCAGAAAATTCTAAATGGGATAAAGAATAAACTGGAAAGAAAATCACATCCAAACTGATCATTATCAAACCCCTGAAAAACAAAGACAGAGAAGTCAGAAAACAGTGACACATTCATGTAGAGGAACCATTATTATACACAATACAAATTGTGTATTTCTCAATTGAAACAATGAAGGCCAGAAGAGAGTGGAACTACATCTTTAAAGTGCGGAAAAGTCAAAGAAGAAACAAGTGAGTTTCAATTTGTCTCCTGATCTTTTCTTCACATGAATCTTTTAAACTTCTCTCTAGATGCATTAATGTCAGAAAATAAATTAGCCAAAAATCTGCCAAACCATAATATTTAAAATCAGGAAGGCCACTCACCTGGATCTGGCGGCACTGACACAGTTTGGATGGTTGTCAGGGACAACACCCTTGCCCATGGGGGTAGGCAAAAATGGCAATTTACATTGCTCAACCAGTTTCCTGAGACTTGCCTCTGCACGGGCATAAGCTGCACCTACAAGGAATGCAAACGTGGTGGACAATTCAGTTAGGCTCCAAGCACGGTGACACTCCTAGTGGTTCATGTAAAGTTGCTTTTCATTGTTGTTGTTATCTTCCAGAGAGTCGGTTCCGACTCATCGCAACCTTGTATAGGATTTCCAAGAAGCGACTGGAGAGTTTGAACTGCCGACCTTGCAGTTCAAACTGACCTTGCAGTCCAGTGCTTTATTCCACTCCTTCTGCTTACATAGGATTTAAACCCCAAACAAACTGTGGTTATAGTTTGATCTTTAGTATTTTTAAATGTTTTTAAGAGCAATGGTTTTAATTTCCTGCCCATTAATATTCCCAATTATTCTGAAGGATGTCTATCCAAAATGGAAGGCTCACTTTACATCTCTTGCTACTCTCACTTACCCATTCTATGGTGCCACTGAAGTACTACTCACAATTCCCAGAACACACTACCTTTATTGTGGGGGAGTCCTGGGGTGACGCTGTAGGTTAGTGCGCTGGACTGCAAAGTAGGTTTCATCCGCAAGGTTGATGGTTCAAACTCACTAGCTGCTCCTTAGAAACCCTATACAGGGTCTCTATGGGTTGGAACTGACTCTATAGCACTTAACAACAACAACAACAACAACAGGCAGGCACAGAGGAACTGTGCCCTGACAGGGAGTCTCTCTCTATGCTCATACATGACTCCCCACTACCAGCAAACTTGGACTGCACAAACTTTCCTGATCTAGGCATGAAAATTCTAACATGAGGCATAAGTTTCTAAACTTCTGCAGATTCTTCTCACCCCATCCCACTTAGTTCAACAATCCTGTGATTCGAGCAGGATTAACCTGAGTGGGACAGATATTGGTTCTTACAGACGTGTGCCTATAAAATAACCATAGTTAAGTCTCAGTGATACTAAAGAAAAATTATTATTTTAAAATAGGGATGACTCCATTTCTTATATCAAGACCGTTGTTGTTGTTAAGTGC